AATAAACGACATGTTAGCAAATGCTGAAATTGCGGCTGGGGATGTGGGTATGTACTAGCCGCAGATGTCTCGTTAGGTCGGGGCATACTTCATCCGTAGAGCATTCGCTGCTGTTTCAGCCTTGTGTGCCACTCCGACTATCGTGTATTGGGAGGGGGATAGCGTGTTGAACTTTTCGAATTGTGTTAACAGAGTTATGTACGAGCTATGAGTAGTCGGCGAATTGCAAGCCAAATGTAGTTGGTGAGTTTGTTCTCACAAACAAGCGTGTTTCAATGGTGGTGCTGGGTCACGCGGTCGCTCCAGGTTTCTGGACTAGGAATGGCTCCGTACGTGTGACAAGTTGCATTCCTTAGTGATATGCGTCTTCAAGTTCTACTTCTGATAAACAATGATAGACTGGTGGAAAGAACTTATTTTCTGAAGGTTACGATCATGTTGTTGAAGCGCCCAACAAACTGAATCCAGCCGCTGTCAGGGAAGTCACATTGCAAGAATTCCCAATCAGTTCTCGCAACCAGATGGTTCAGGAGGTTGTAGCGTGGGATGGTACGTGTTAGTTCAGTGTGTTCCTCTGGATGTTCAGCATAACACACAGTCATAAAGTATGATGACTATCCCTTTGCTGTAGTGTAGTGTTGATAAACGGCGTTGGTGTCAGGGAAGCCGAGCTTTTTCAAGAATTTGACTATCCTGTTTTTTCACATCGGCTAAGAGGTCGGCATATCTGAGGTATTCTCTGCCGATGATAGCAAATGGCACGGCGGCAATAGTGAATGTTCTGCAGATCTAAGTTAATGGTTACTGAGCGTTCGCCGTATATGGGAATGAGTAGCGTATATTACCGAATATAAGCCCGTCCATAAATAATTTGCAACATCGAATTTGTCCAAAGTCGGATATCCCTGTATTAGCTGACCCTTAAAATATCGACAAAAGAGAAACGGTGGTTTCTCTACGATTTTGACCTCACCGCTACCTGCTCTTTCTTGAGTTTCAAGTGAGGCCTGCTCTACTACTGATCGTTTGTGACCACAATGTTATGTGTGTACTGGGGCACAGGGCCGTCAGGACAGACTTTCACTGCACCGGACAGTGTATTGACCAGACGGCAAGTCACACGAAATTGGCAAGGTAGCCAAAAATATAGGGTAAGATCAAGGGACTGGGACGATGTTGTATTTTTAAGGCACCGGATCGCATGGTATAACAATGTATAAGGGCTTTTGCATCGCTGCTGCCATCCGTCGCGAGCATCATATGTGCATTATACCGCTACTTATTGACACAAAGGTAACATGCCCAGTTATAGGCACTTCAGATCCCCGTTTGAAATACCGTCCGTCACTAGCGGTTGGTGCTAAGTTGAGATAAGGGCAGTGGTGGGAATTCCTGCGGGGATTTTGCATGTGACTTTTTCAAATTCCCTATAGCCTTTGTATAAGCCGATGCCACTCTATAGAAACGAAAAGTTGTCCAGAAACCATCGGCTTATGTTCTGTGATATATAGATTTCATTAGCGACACAAGTGCTGAGAGTGACTGGCTGAGTCGCTTCCACAAGTGCCGGAGGAATCACGCTTACTTCAGCCCCGGTATCAACCAACGACGCGGTTTTAGATTTCCAGTCCTGTACATAAAGTAGGCTGTTGCCGGGGCTATTGCCCGCGGTCTAGAACCTTTTCCGATCGAGTTGAGGGGAAGATGCAAGTCGTAGTACATCGCTTCGCCTGAGGGCCAAAGCGGTAGTGATAGTAACATAGCTAGTTGCGTGGTAAGCTGCTGGCCTTAGCCGACTTGCTCTTAGGTACAGGTAAGTTACTAACGGCTGAATGGGAATGTTGACTGCCGTGTAATGCCTCTAATCGTTTAAGTACTATGGTAAGCTCAGAGAGAAGGAATGCATGATGTCTATCTGAAGTAGGTGGCTGATGAGACGCATTAGATCTATTCGGTAAATGTGTAGCTGGTGGCATTATGTAGTCGACTTACTTAAGAAGACGAAGCATAATCGCATATACCAGTTGTGCAGTTAAAATGAGGGAATAGATGTTCGCGGATTTAAGGAGAGCTTGGGCTGTTTCAGGTAAGTGCTGCACTTAAAATTCTAGAAGGGGGAGTCATCCATTGTAGACGATCCAAAGAACCTCTTTGCCTCTCCAACAATAGATTGGGTTGCATCTTTATACCTAGAGGCGGACCGTGAAATAGCTGTTTGCTTCGTGTCCTAGCTGATTGCTCAAATCAGTTAAATATCTCTTGTTTAATAGACTCATAAAAGGTACGTATTCAGACACGAAAGAGTGTCTATGAGCTGCAAAACGAAGTTCCTAGGAAGATTATCTAGCAAATGACTATTATTAGATTGGTCGGAAATGATAGTGGGCCGGGAAAACAATTCTAACAGGATAAACCAACGTGGGTCCTCAAATAGGGTGGGGGGAGACAGCGATGTAACACTAATATATGGGCAAAAATGTTAGTATCTAGGTGTCATAGAGGGCTGATGTTGCATTTTTGAAACGTCTTCATCGCAGTTGAGCTAAACTAATTCACAGTTAAACTAGGTCTTGTTAAGCTGGGTAAATTTCATTCCACTTTCTTTGGTTTGTTCTGCCTACCTGAATAATCTTCTATTAACTGACCATGTTGCTTAGGCTAATTCCGCTTATTTTTGATAACATTGTTGCGTTTGCAGCGATTTTAAGTAACTTGTGGACATTGTTTACCTATTGCAGATTCGTTGCTAACCAACTTACATCAGATGTCAATTTAGCTGAGAGTTATGCCACCGTATCTGTGTGCAATATTATATTAATTTTATGTCATCTTTTCGTTTCAAGTGATTGGTTGTTGCTTGACATCCCCGGTGAGGCTGCGCTTGAGGTGCATGTTGACAAGGTGTCTTCCTGTCTATTACCCACCACCTCCTTCGTACTGGCTGCAGGAGAGAGTTGGCCGTTGCAGGAGGGGACGGGGTGCACGGATCTTGTGGTCGTACTAGGCTCAAAGAGCGGTTCCATGCATTCAGTGTGGAGCGGACTACGGTCCAGCCACCGTCTTCTGTGCGCTTGATTCCCCAAAGACAGCGTGCTTGTGTTTGCCTGTGAAGGAGTGTGGGCCGGCTCCGTTGACGAAACGTGGCTCCCATCCACATGCCTCCCGGTCTTATTCCTTCGGGTTTACACTGGATATGGGGTGTGTGGATGGAGCTGTGGGTGGTGCAGCGCAAGCCACCCATGGTCCCTCTGTGGGCGCAGGCGTTCTGTGGCTGGCCACAGTGACAGGCAAATCCGAAACCGGATGCCGCCAGCCATAGAGTATCATACAAAAGTTGCAAAATCATTTCAGGAAAGGAATAAACTCACCAAAAATAACTTCGATTATGGCGGGAACGCGAGTACATTCAGGGTCACAAGTTTTCAGGTGTTACCCAGATACTAGTCACAACCCGTGTCATTTAATAGGCGTACCAAATAGGGGAATAAGGAGAACAGTCAGACCCGCTTGACCAAACGTATATTGGCAAGCTACCAAGAATGCAGGGCAGTTAATCAAGAGCAGACAGTGTCGGACAACGTGACTTTCTGAGAGAGCAAGTGCTATGAATTGTGCTAAAAGTAGAACGAATGGGCTATCGGAAAATATAAGCGAAAATAAAATCCGTCTCAAAATACTGAAATTGTGAATGCTTCATGTGCACCTGATGTCATTTACCTATCGTGATATGACTAAAGTGGGTCCTTCTGCCCTCATTACCACATCTTGTTATGTTTGCTCATGTAGATTTTTAAATCTCTTGCACGTTGCGTGTTCATCTGGGCCGCGATAGCGATCAGGAGTAGCGCCCTTGTTACACTATTCTCTGATTCTAGGATTCCCACAATTTCAGGAAGATTATTCGACGCACAAACATTACGCAACTTCTTCATTTTGGTTAGAACATTGATTCTGATTATCTACCTGTGGTACAACAAATAAACTAGGCCGTTATACATTGTATGCTATGATTTCGCTGGATGATAAATATTCGTCCAGTTGGAACTTGACCACGTCAGCTTCGATGCCCCTTTTCTTATAATTTCGGTCATACCTGTGGCAGTTGGCGTGTCAATACTTAGCACAATAAAGCGATCTCGGCCGCGCAGATTTCAGCAACCTCATGGCAAGCCCAGACCTTCCGCGACTGGTGCTAGCAGCATGGCAGCAAAGCGTCGGGATATGGTCCCTGTCCACAAAGACAAACGACCAGCCGCCCATTTTGAGTGTGTTTTTCATGACTCTTAGGCGGCGGAAAAAGAAAATAAGAAAAGAGATAGCGGAAGATAGCTGGATATATTGTTAAATAGTATTATGCGTTATTAACAGCGCCGATTTTGGGAACGAAGTTTCCTTTCATACAAATTAAATTCATGTTTAGCTTTACCGGTATAGTGTTGAGCCACAACTAACTGGGAATCGATTTCCGTGTGCTGCAGGCGGTATTTTCAACCGGAGAAATGCATCCACCTTACTAGTTAAGGCTTCAATGAAAAATGTTTTACCAGGGACTAAAACTCCTCGCAAATCTGTATCGTTGGGACGGCCAGGGGCAAGAAAACGCTTACTCGGGGCATTGTACAGCCACTACAGCCGATAGCTTTTGGTCACTCGTGTTATGCGGGGCGTCGGCGTGTTGTCGATGCCTATTTTTACAAATCTTTACGTCATAGTAATCGTCTCGGAGCATTGTTGGTCATTGTAAGACATACGGGTCAGTTACGCCATATATATTGCTTTCGCAAATGACATGCGATCATGTAGCGTTGTCTTGGGAAATACGCAGGAGCAATTTTGACCAATTGCGATCGATTACGTATGGAGCCAACTTGGTCTCAGAAACTTTGTGCACACCTATAATCCATGTGGTATTTCAACGGTCACACGCACAGACACGCAGCGATCAAAAACTAGCGTATTTCATTGGTCTGATTGCGGTCAGTGCACTAATATGCGACGACTTTTAGGCAAGACACGGAGCAGCTGAGCTCACAGTGATCCTGCTCGGCTGATGAAACTTCGGATTGTCTGATTCGAATGTCGCATTGGTCTTGGTACAGTGTGTTACCGAAAGCAAACCCCCGCTGTGGTTTTTCACTTTTAATGGGTGCTGCTTTCGCCTTTGTCATTCTTATGAAAGCGCCAGCAATTAAATTCCTCCAGCCGTGCAGGGGAACATTCAAAGTGCAAGTTTCCGCCGTGAACCCCACAGCTTTAAAATTGGAAATTTCTGGTGGACCATCAGTGTCAATCGATTGGACGAAGCAAAAGTACTTGAAAGATAGGATTCGCATCCTGTGTTACATTAACACAATACCCAGAACTAACGCCACTAAGGCAATTCATGTGAAATTCACTTGGGCTGATCAGTGCACCAAGTACCTATTCATGAGTTCGGCGGACGATCCGACTCTGCCCAGTGTGAGTAAGTTGTGCGGATGTAGTCCATTTGTTTCTGTGTTTCAATGAATTGGCTGCAACTTTCTAAACCCATGTTTTCACAACTATGATCCATATGCATTCATTTTACAGTCAACAGTGCAATCTATTTCACTTAGAAATAATTTGAAAGGTGCCACAAGTCTCAAAAGCGGCTTAACTAATCTATTGCCTAAATTTCATTGACTAATACTTAATACTAAAATTCATGCATGAGGTGGTCAAATTATGTGTGTGTGTGTGTGCCGGAGCAATTGTTTCCGCATGATCGATAAAGCACAATGGGTGTAACGTGGCTTCATTAGGTATAGGTTTTTAGAGATACAACAAATTGCGTGGTCATATTGAAAAAACAGAAAATCGAATTTTTGGATGACATATGGAACCTAGCGAGTAGTCATGAGTTCAGAGAAGTATGGAAAAGTAGGTTGGCATAGTTGTTCGATAACCTTTCCTCCTTGACACAACAGCTTCGTCAGACCAGGTGAATCAGTGTGCAATTGGGGTGGCATTTTCTAGCGATTAGGAGTGATAACCGCGTTACTCGAGACTTGGGCCGAGGTGCTCTCCAGTCACAGTTCGTGATGTCACCTCAGGTGGTTCAATCACAGTTTGAATAATCCAGGTGTTCCTTTGTGCATCATAGCATTGACGAATAAGCCCATAGTGGAGAGTATGGGAGTCAGATTGCACTTTCCAATCTGATTCACGCACCGAAGTTTGTCAGGCTGGCCGGCTTAAGATTGATCGCCACGCACTAGCGAGTTCTGCCCCCTCCATTCTATTCACGAAGCTGTCCGATTTGGTAACTTTTGACCATTTCGGCAATCACCCGCTGAGGCGTCGATCGTATACCTCTCCTAATGACATCTACATTTTCCAAGTCTATCTGGTAACCCGTGTCTAATGCATGCACAGCCACGGCCGAGTCACTTACTATTGCCGGGTATACAAACTCGTTTCTTGGTGGTCTTCTAATGCGCCCCATGTACTCAAAGATTTGTGGGCGTAACTCTCTCGCTGTTTGGTTTTTGTACACATGTGTACAGTCCATACATTTTTACTTATAAATACAGTTAGTCTTCCTATCCTTGGGAAGAGGGTCCTTCAGGTGTACCAGTGGTGAACGTGCGTTTGACCTCGCTGGAAGATCACTCCTATATTTTTCTTGTAAAATCCTCTCCGAATTGCCTCCAAAGTGCCTTCCTTTCACTGAATTCCTACCGTCCAAATCCTCTCCTCTGGGGATCTTGACTGTCGGTTAATCACTTTAGCTAATTGGCGTTTGACTAGCCGCCATGGTAACCACTTTCTAATAGTTTTTCTTTTCCACTCTCTGCTACTCTACGCTACTGCAAGTCACTTAACTACGCACTGATGATGTCACCTCGAAAGTGACGAAACGTTTGTAACAAAATTGTCAAGCTCAGCGAACAGTTCAGCCGTCACGAGTAACTGTGATTTGAGCCTAAATGTATTGACTGTACACATGTGTACAAAGGTCAAACAGCGAGAGAGTTACGCCCACAAATCTTTGAGTACGTGGGGCGCATTAGAAGACCACCAAGAAACGAGTTTGTATACCCGGCAATAGTAAGTGACTCGGCCGTGGCTGTGCATGCATTAGACACGGGTTACCAGATAGACTTGGAAAATGTAGAGGTCATTAGGAGAGGTATACGATCGACGCCTCAGCGGGTGATTGACGAAATGGTCAAAAGTTACCAAATCGGACAGCTTCGTGAATAGAATGGAGGGGGCAGAACTCGCTAGTGCGTGTCGATCAATCTTAAGCCGGCCAGCCTGACAAACGTCGATGCGCGAATCAGATTGGAAAGTGCAATCCGACTCCCATACTCTCCACTACGGGCTTATTCGTCAATGCTATGATGCACAAAGGGACACCTCGATTATTCAGACTGTGATTGAACCACCTGAGGTGACATCACGAACTGTGACTGGAGAGCACCTCGGCCCAAGTCTCGAGTAACGCGGTTATCACTCCTAATCGCTATAAAATGCCACCCCAATTGCACACTGATTCACCTGGTCTGACGAAGCTGTTGTGTCAAGGAGGAAAGGTTATCGAACGACTACACCATGCGATTGCTTCCATATTTCTTAGAGGCTAGATGACGCAAGTACTTTTAGGTTGCAGCATTAGGGTTCGTGGATTATGCTACCTGAGGCATATTTAACGATCACCAATTTTTCACTGCCTCTTCGGAGTAGGCAGTTACCACGGCGGTTGCTTTTGAACAAAACGCGGTTTACGATGTCGCTACTCGTTCCGCAGTTAGCAAATTTCGAAACCAAACGGTGGAACTTCAATTATTAAAGTTGTTAATAAAATCTCATATGAATCCTTTGATTAATCTAGTATTTCTGCGTGGCAACACCGCTTGTGTGTTTCACGGGCTAATACTCGATTGATATGCTGAGGATGCTGAGAGTAGCTCCATAAATAGGCCTGTAATTACATACTTGTCTGGCAACAATAATAGTATAGTGTTGTAAGCCGGATCAAAATACTAAACCAGGGAAGATTAACTTTTGAAAAGGATTTTGTTAGTCCAACCCTAAATATGCGGGGCTATAACCTAAACGAAATTGACAAACAAGTCCAAGTGACAGTGGTTCAATATTGAGCAGATCGCCATTTATGCTATTGATGAAGCTCCCTTGTAAATCGGTATTAATGTAAATGGAATCTGTCAGGAAAGTCTATTCAAAGGAAAATAAGTCATATGTCAACAGTTTATTTAAACTTCCACACACATAATGACGTATACGGATGTATCAGCTGTTAGACATGGTGCATTCCGGTAGACTGTCGAGCCAGCCGTTGCTGGTTCAAAAGTGCTCCATTATGAGACCATCACCAGTGTCTCGTAAAAGTATGTTGCATCATTCGCTCAAAGGGCATTGTGATTTCGAGAAATTTTGGGTGGTGAATGAAACACGGCACTGCGCGCGTTAGCAGCTGATCCAGGTTACTTCTGAATATACCGATTGCTCTGTATAATCCAAATTAAGCTACCAAACTTCATAAGCAACTCAGTCACATTACTTCAATGCTGTCTGAGGACGTTCAGGATTGGAAAGCCGGCTTTCTCAACTGCTTATGAGTCAGACTGATATTTAAAAAGGCAGTGTCCGAAGATGACCAGCGTTCTGTGTGTCTCACAGGTAATGTTGCGCTATATCCGCTCTAACTGTAGTTTCTGAAGTGAAATATCTTTATGCAACAAGGTAGATGAAAAATGTCGACAAAAAAGCCCTCCAACGCTTCAACAAAGAAACTTCAGGCATTTAATTATAGCCTACGGATCTGCATATGCAACTGTTAAGTAACTTGTATACGATAGGATGCTGGTGTCTCCATACACACTTGGCAGTGTAGTCGGTCATCGATTTTTGAAACTGATTTAACTAGTAGGCTGTCGATGCTACCTGTGCCAACACGCGGATTATGTTGGATTTTACCGTAGCATATACATTAGTTGTATATTTAGACATATATAAAATAGAGTGGCTTCAATCTGAATAGAAGTACATCGTTTTGTATAAACAATCACATACTGACATGAGTATAGCATCGGTATGCAGACTGAATAATTTCAAGAAAGTAGTTTGTAATTTACTCCACGATGCCTTCAACCTGCCTTACTTTTCATCTATAGCAGACCTCATTAGAGTAGACAAAAACGAGGAATGAAATTTAGCCAAGAGACAGTACTTTCTTGCAGAGATTAGGTGTTCAGCCTGCGGCAGTCATATTAAGCTAAGTTATTTTACTAATCGGGACAAATGTAAATCTGTTAGTATTCGAGAAGTAATTTATCAACTAAACAATTACTCGCGCCTTTCGCTGCTATCGGGACAAAGGTTATACTAATTTTTAAACACTCGCAGCGTGGGTATTAAGGCAAAACCTATTACACTAATATTGATGAAGAGGTACTTGGACACAATATGTGTGTGCTAATGAAATCTACTTAAATGTGGCGACTTGTCGACCGACTGTAGCGGATGGCAACCCTATACAATTTCACGGTTATCCCAAATAGGGAATGTTTTGCCCTGTGTTAAACAAGTGGTGCTTTGCAATGATTCGGTATACAGCTCCGTAGAGGAAAATTTTCCTCTACGGAGCTGCACACTGAAGATGCCACTGAGGGAAGTGGTGAAACGTTTGACATTAAATTACTCAGCTCGGAGAACGAATCAAAACGTTAAGTGGTGCTTTGTTAAAATTTCCTACTCAAGTCAAACGTGTTTCAGTGGTACTTATTAGAGTTCTGTGCTACCTTATGAAACAGCCGCAACTACTAAAGGCAAAGCTCTTAGCGATATACTTCAGGACATTGTGAAGGTACCGTCAACAGATAATACTAATAGACGAGATTCTCTAGGAGACATAGGGTATCGAGTATTGTGAACAATTTGGCTGACCACTCTATGAGAAACTTCACCAGGAGTTAAAGCTAGTGGATCGTATTTGTAGCTGACTCGAAATTCCCTTCTTACTACTCCCTTTTGTTTCACGTTTTACAACACTTCATCATGGTCGCGGAAAGCAATACCGTAGTGTACATCAAATGTACATTAGCTTCGTCTGCTAGGTTCTTATCAACTACTCCAGAGAAACGTGACCACACCTCTGCATAAACCGTGTGGAAATTCTTCACTATGTGCATTCAGCAATCGCAGCTAAAAATTAAAAATGACGGACCATGATAATAGTTCTGGTTGCGGGTATACATCAGGTCGGGACCTGTTACCCTGGAACTCTAGGCAAATAAAGGGGATCATTTTTCATTTCGTTCTGATTCGATTGAACAATTATTCATGGAGATCATGAGAAAATGCTCATTAACGTACACGAGGGGGTTACTAACAGTAGTCTTCTGTCATGTGCTTTCAAACGTTCCTAATTTGTGTAATTGTGTGAGACAACATATCCATGGAATGTTTATTATTGACGTATGACCACAACTTGTCAGCAATGCATTGCATAAATGCTACACCAAAAACGCGTGAAACGACTGTCAACGCAATTTGTTTTATTGAAACCTTGTGCACTCTATTGTACAAATTTATTTTAATCGAGCAATGTTCTCATCACTGGTCAACAAATTCATCATATGTACTTTGATACAAAATATTTGAGGGTATCAGTTAACCACGGAACCAGTTAGCAAAATATATGCGCAAGCACAAATAAGAATATCATGCCTCATTACAACAAATGAGCATAAAACGGAAGCGGAAGGCGTAAATTAGACGGAGACGATTTCAATTCCAACAGCTCCATAGAGAAACCAAATAGCTGGTCTACTTCGATCATATATGTGTATCTGGATACGCTCATTCATTTAACCGGTGATCTGTTGTCCAATTCTCTTAAGCAAGCTTTCACGAACTGCCTCGCATGTAACAAAAACGGATAACGTGTGTAAAACCTCCATGCCTAACAAGTTTGCGTGTAGGGTACAGCAGTTTGCAGATATGCGCGTGAATCAACAAACAATCAAGTACCTGCGAGTTCGTTAACTACATCCGTGTGTGTTCTCAACATATGGCGAACTCGTAGCTTGAGTTGCATAAATGCGTGCAAGAATGAACGCTGGCACGAGGAACCGAGTAGAAATGGTGGTGTCGGCCTAAATCAATAGAAGGGATGCGGATTTCTCCCAAACATCGGAAGTCCAGTGCATACAGCCCCGATGTCAATGTGTGAAGAATAATGTGGTAAAGTGCTCTAACCTTCTCAGAACATGATACGAATAGCACAGAGCTGATAGATTTCCACGGATGTAGCTAGCGATAGGGAATTGGGAAGTGTTACGGACACAAATGCGGCTGTTTCCAAATGTCTTTCCCGTCTCTCTTTTCTTCAGATTTACATCTGAAGCAGCCGGAAGGCAGGAAGCATTTATGGAGCAAAATGCGCATAATTTTAAATTATGTCTCACAGTTCGCCGACGACTACGATTTTTTTCTTAAAGCAGACGATGACACATTCGTAATCATGGAGAATCTGCGAGCGGCGCTTCGATTGTTCAATCCGGAACAGCTCCTAATGTTTGGATACCCGTTCAAGGTTAGTATTATCGTTTCTCACAATAATGAACCCCTCTCGAAAGAGCTCATACGAGCAGGCAGGCTACTGCGCTGAAGCCGCTAATCTCGTGTTATGCTTTTGAGCTAATCGATTAGGCTCCGATGTGTATCGCTACTGGCGAGAAAATGCCAACGTAAATGCTACATGAGTGGTTGTGACAGACTTGTGTCTTATCAGTTTTAGACAAAGTTAACAGTCTTCAAATGAGGTCGAGATGTGCTTTATACACATTATGCATCAACAATTTGCGCACATGGGATGCATGGAGCAGAGTGTTTGCGGCTTTTATTAGGTTGTGTGCATCTAAAACACTCGCACACTTGAGGGAACCACATTACGGTCAATGTATTGATGCTTATTCACCATGCAAGCGTTTACTCCAATCTCTCCTCAGCACTCATTCAGATGAGTATCTTCTCGAGTTGTGCTAGCATGTGTATACAACTGCTTTCGTAACCAAATGTTCTGCAACTCTCCCCAGTGAGCTTTAGCTTTTATTAATGCATTTCACTCATTAGATGGAAGGAGATTTGCATGCAGGGCACTAATCCTACAAATAGATATGGACAATGTAACATGCGAGCAGCCTGTGTGAAAGGGAAACCTGGTGCTGGTGTATTCCGATATTCCAAATATGGACAACACCATCGGTACTGGGCGCATTGGATGCGGTCTTTTGACCGGAAGTGCTGCAGGACGAAGTCCTTGACCAGTCCTTCGGCTTTACACTTGCTTATGCATCTGAATGCGCTTCTTGTTTACATGGCATTGAGCTGTCTAAATTGCCTTCGGACCACAGTTAGCATAGTTGAATGGTTCCTTGAGGTAACGCAAAGTATATAGGTAGGGACAATAGGTATATTTCTCCTAGAGGGAAAATCTACCTCCGTAGTTAGCACAGATCACATTTTAGTGAATATGTCATGCCTGTTCAAGTGTGGTAAAAAGTTGTATGATTTTCTTTGTCTTTCTTAATTCAAGGTTATGTTTTTACTCATAGATTTGATTCAACGCAATTTGTACCAGTTGGATTAGGGGATAATCACAACACTAGGGGTGTATCACACAGAGTGAACGTTGTCTGTTTCATCAGTCAGATGTTGTTTGGCCCTGCTTGGAGCAAATAATAAAGTGATTTCTCCCAAGAGAACAGGGTCATAATCTTGTTCAAATCTAGGTAATTAGCGAGCTTGACGCGGAAGGCCGTTGTGTGACAGCACAATACGTTTCTGACTGGGAGCTTATGCCACAGGACAGCATATCTGATGAGGAAAATGTTGGACCGCAGATTTATCCTGCATCTGGGTACACTCTGGATAAACTCCTTATTCAGTTGTGCTTTGAGTGATCAAAGGTAATTCCGCCAATGAAGCGCCTATCAGTGGATTGACTATGATAACCACATAGATGCAAATGTGTTCCCCTCACTCTAATTGTATGGGAATGTTGGCTTACGCAAGTTTTATTTAAGTATTTTTATGCTGTGGATAAAAGTAAGTAAAAGAAAAGTAGGCATGGCGTAGAACACATCATTGTGTTACTTTACTGGCCATTTGCCTGCGCCTTGTGATGCAAATGGTTTCAGAGGCGTTCCACGGATGTGAAGCTCTAAGATGATCAAAACTTCAGCGGTATTCCAGCAGCCTTTTCTCATGATCACATACACTTTTGGCCATTCAGTTTCTGGTTGTGACTGTTTCACGAGGTAGTGTGAACTGGTTTTCTAGCACGTTGTTTTAGGGCCACCACGGAACCACCGACACTATTGGCCATACATCATGAATGTGTAAGTGATAAACAACCCTGGATGATAGATGGTTCCCACCAACGGTGGGTAATCCAAGGGATATTTATGCACTGCTCTCCCGTAGCTAAGACGTCTCGGATTTCTTCAAATCTCCGTACTCATCTTGGTCCGGTGTTCGAGTTCACCATTCCCGGTGAACCACTGCATCTACCTTTCATTTATCCAAGTACTTTGAACTTGATCCTGCGCTAATTTCAAACAAGCATCGTGCGAATCTCAGAGGGTCTAAAATATTAAAATTTCAGCACATGCACCGTCAGGAAATTACTGTAGCTGATTTTCTACTTATTTCCTCAACGAGGACAGATAAATTGTCTTAGTTTATATTTTTTCCTTTTCCGACTCATGTTCATGTTCATTTGAATAGCAACCTAGCACACGCAACCATAAAATATAATTTTTGGGCATGCCAAACCGACTGTCTACATAGGTCACACTGAGCATAAGCCTTTCGTTCGTCAGTGCATTTATGCCACTCCGAATCTGGTGAACGAACCTATTTAGCCACTAGTGGGACGTTTGTAATAAATTGCACCACGTCAAACCATAAACCGCTCACCTGGTATACCGAAACGTCAGGTTGCTCACATTTGATTCACTTAGATGAAAGTAGGGTTGTAGCTTGTGTGCACCAAAATGCAGATTGCGAGCTCTCGGGCTGCATTCCATTTGTATTGTAAGCAATAGGAATGTGGAACAATTGCTATGTGGCATTGATTATTGTGTCGCAGTTAAAGTCAGCATATATGTTTACTTGACCCTTGTCTCCTTATCCTTCTATAGGTTGTAATTTGTATCGCTGTGGTATTGCAGAATGACCCTACAGTGAGTACAGAATCGGCAGTTTCAAGTCAATACAATACTGCGCCACGAATTCTAAGTTTGTAACCCGTTTTCTGTTAGCAAAATAAGCTGCACAATAGTTTCATCTGATGTCCTCCACTTCGGGTGAGCTGACCTGAGGGGTATTTGGAGGTAGAGACTAACCATTTGACTGTGCCTCTAATAACTACCTTCTCTTAGAAGATGTGCCTTCACAGAATAAGTTTTATTTGTTTTGTGATCATCCTGAACGATGCTTGGGGGTTGGCAAATAGAGCAATCGAGGGAGTAGGTATCTTGGCCCCATTTGTAGCCATGATAGAATGAATGTGCACTGCTTTGTGGTCCAGGCATTTTGGAGGCAACCCCAATTCAAGCAGCTTACTCCAACATACTTCTAAATCTACCGCTCACTCTGGAAAGTGAACTGGTGTTCCAACTGAACTGAAGTTGGTCGGTTCAAATGCAGCTGCACAAATTGTAGCTCCATTTTCCTGCTTAGATTTCGATGCTGCGACCAGCATTTTGATGACGCGGGGAACACGCGGCCATTTTTGTCCGGCCTGAAGTTAACTGAGAAAGTCTCGGTAATGCATCGCTTCGTGCTTCTTCGAGATGAAACGCTTCCGGGGCTCACCGCTAACAACCGAATGGACGACAGTACATTCGCGTACCAACTCCTTAGAGCACCCAAGTTACCCAATTCCCGTTCTCACATTGTTAGTGCAGGTCTGGTGCAACACACACGTTTCTTCTGGAATGCTCAAGGTTACTCTGATTCACTCTACCGCCATGGGACAGTAAGCCAGCTTGTACTGGAATGATAGTTCGCTTGAGATCCTAGGTTACAGGCTAGCTTTTTCTTCACGGTGCTTGAATGCATCCGAATGACTACCTCAGACCAACTGCATGTTGGTTGGTGCACTGAATGTCCGGATGTATATCTATATCCTTCCCGTTTCAGTCAGTAGTTTACTAGTTTTATAAAGTGGAATGGCATAAAAACCGTACTTTCATAAGACATGCAGGATTGCAGACGCAGAAGCAAAGCTGAATTGATATGGAATATTAAAACAATGATATAATGCAGATAAAATAGCAAGACCTGACAAGTCCCTTGGGATGGTTTGTGGGAATAACGTTAGTTCAATGCACTTACACCACAGTGAAAAGCACAACTGTGGAGTCACCATATTATCCACGTTAACACATAGGTATATCCACTTACCCTGATTTTGTGAGTTTGATGAGCACAACGTTTGTCTGCGTCTTGTCATCATTCAATGAATAAAACTCAGATCAAGTAATGTAAATGGTGTAATGCATCGTCACGTCGTTTTAAAAGTGTTTAGCGTGGGCGCGAAAATGACAAAAGTCGAAAGAGCGTTCCACGGTTGACAAACACGAAGTGAAACCAATTCCGGCGGCACTCGAGCCGACTGAATTTCGTGGTTAGTTTCTGTTTATGACCCCTGCATTCTGTGTTACAGTTAAGCTTCAAGAGGAGCGACCAGTGCGACCGGATTTTGCAAAAACTGGAATATATAAATATTCTGGTGTGGAACAGGAACTTTTAATAGTATAGGCATCGCACTTTAACAAATTTGTGTATAGTGTTGTCACTCAGATAATTATATCACAATTTGCACCACTTCCGCTCGCGATGCATTCCACTGGGAACCGATTCTGAAAGAGTAAGTAATCCTTCTATAATCAAAACGGCAGACCTGAATTACTGTATTCAGGTTGTGGCACCGGCATTGCTTGTAAGAGTCTAGGGTCAGCAGGAGGAACAATTTTGTGAGTTCCCATTGTGTTAGAATGAAAGTTCCCCCAAAGCCGTTTGTATTCTGAGGCGAACATACCGGTTAACTGAAGTCTCATTTCGTAGTTGAGACCGGATAATGCAAGTGTTGCTTTAGTGGCTACTCTTTGCGTCAGCCCTAAATGACAAATGTCTTGTTCTAACCATTTACGTTAGGTCTCAACGATGTACGCAAGGCGGGAACGAATACACAAGGTACACTAGACCTCGCCCATAGGAAACAAGAGCTAACCTCCAAACACCTGAGTTCAAATTCACTACCAATAATGCTATAGGGCATTGTATCGAACTGTCCAGACGTTTCTGGGCAATGATACATATACCTCGTCAACTGGTTACATGTTGAAGAACTTGCTTCCCCAAAACATATGTGTTCTTGAAGCTGTTGCTTGGCGCCAGCAGGTGGTAGTTTGCAGGGTTCAGTGGCAGCATTTTCATTACTGCCGATTCGTAAATATGTCGTTATCATCCTGAATATGGGTAGGGTTATTTTCTGAGCATATAACTTTCCATATCTCGGCAGTA